TGTCTGCCACTCTCAGATCTTGGGCCGCATGAGTTTACACTTTACACTTGTCTCCCACACTCGTCTCCCACACTTGTCTTTCACACTTGTCTCGCACTCTGGGTGCCTTGGGCCGCATGAGTTTACACTTGTCTTCCATTTGTCTTCCACACTTGTCTCCCACACTTGTCTCCCACTCTCGGTGCCTTGGGCCGCATGAGTTTACACTTGTCTCCCACTTGTCCGTGTCTCCCACTCTGGGTGCCTTGGGCCGCATGAGTTTACACTTGTCTCCCACTTGTCTCCCACTTGTCTCCCACACTTGTCTCCCACTCTGGGTGCCTTGGGCCGCATGAGTTTACACTTGTCTCCTACACTTGTCTTCCGCGCTTGTCTCCCACTCTGGGTGTCTTGGGCCGCATGAGTTTACACTTGTCTCCCACTTGTCTCCCACACTTGTCTCGCACTCTGGGTGCCTTGGGCCGCATGAGTCTACACTTGTCTCCCATTTGTCTCCCACACTTGTCTCCCACTCTGGGTGGCGCATGAGTTTACACTTGTCTCCCACACTTGTCTTCCACACTTGTCTCCCACACTTGTCTCCCACTCTGGTTGCCTTGGGCCGCATGAGTTTACACTTGTCTCCCACACTTGTCTCCCACACTTATCTCCCACTCTGGGTGTCTTGGGCCGCATGATTTTACACTTGTCTCCCACTTGTCCCTCACACTTGGGTGCCTTGGGCCGCATGAGTTTACACTTGTCTTCCACTTGTCTCCCACACTTGTCTTTCACTCTGGGTATCTTGGGCCGCATGATTTTACACTTGTCTCCCACTTGTCTCCCACACTTGTCTCCCACACTTGTCTCCCACTCTGGGTGCCCTGGGCCGCATGAGTGTGCACTTGTCTCCCACTTGTTTCCCACTTGTCTCCCACACATGTCTCCCACTCTGGTTGCCTTGGGCCGCATGAGTTTACACTTGTCTCCCACTTGTCTCCCACACTTGTCTCGCACTCTGGGTGCCTTGGGCCGCATGAGTTTACACTTGTCTTCCACTTGTCTCCCACACTTGTCTCCCACTCTGGGTGCCTTGGGCCGCATGAGTTTACACTTGTCTCCTACACTTGTCTTCCACGCTTGTCTCCCACTCTGGGTGTCTTGGGCCGCATGATTTTACACTTGTCTTCCACTTGTCTCCCACACTTGTCTCCCACTCTGGGTGCCTTGGGCCGCATGAGTTCACACTTGTCTCCCACACTTGTCTCCCACTCTGCGTGCCTTGGGCCGCATGAGTTTACACTTGTCTCCTACACTTGTCTTTCACACTTGTCTCCCACTCTGGGTGTCTTGGGCCGCATGAGTTTACACTTGTCTCCCACTTGTCTCCCACACTTGTATCGCACTCTGGGTGCCTTGGGCCGCATGAGTTTGCACTTGTCTCCCACTTGTCTCCCACACTTGTCTCGCACTCTGGGTGCCTTGGGCCGCATGAGTTTACACTTGTCTCCCACTTGTCCGTGTCTCCCACTCTGGGTGCCTTGGGCCGCATGAGTTTACACTTGTCTCCCACTTGTCTCCCACTTGTCTTTCACACTTGTCTCCCACTCTGGGTGTCTTGGGCCGCATGAGTTTACACTTGTCTCCCACTTGTCTCCCACACTTGTCTCGCACTCTGGGTGCCTTGGGCCGCATGAGTTTACACTTGTCTTCCATTTGTCTCCCACTCTGGGTGCCTTGGGCCGCATGAGTTTACACTTGTCTC